ATTTTTTTTTTTTTGTGGTATCTTTGCTTGGTTTTGGTATTAGAGTGACGCTGGCCTCATAGAATAAGTTTGGAAGTATTCCCTCTTCTTCTACTCTTTGAGAATCTTTAAGGAGGATGGGTATTAGGTCTTCACTAAATGTTTGATAAAATTCAGAGGTGAAGCCATCTACTCCAGGAGTTTTGTTCTTAGGTAGGTTTTTAATTACCAGTTCAATTTCGTTGCTGGTAATTGGTCTGTTCAGATTTTCTGTTTCTTTCTGTGTCAGCCTTGGAAGGTTGTGTTTTTCTAGAAAGTTGTCCATTTTTTCTAGGTTATCCAGTTTGTTAGCATATAATTTTTCATAGTATTCTCTCATAATTCTCTAATAATAAAAAATTGTCCATTTCTTCTAGGTTATCCAGTTTGTTAGCATATTATTTTTCATAGTATTCTCTAATAATTCTTTGTATTTCTGTGGTGTCCATAGTGATTTTTCCTTTCTCATTTCTGATTCTGTTGATGTGAATAGACTCTCTTTTTTTCTTGATAAGTCTGGCTAGGGGTTTGTCTATTTTGTTTATTTTCTCAAAAAACTAGCTCTTATTTTCATTGATTCTTTCTATTGTTTTATTCTTCTTGATTTTATTTATTTATACTCTAATCTTTATTATGTCCCTCCCCCTACTGACTTTGGGACTCATTTGTTCTTCTTTTTCTAGTTTCATTAATTGTATGTTTAGACTGCTCATATGGGATTGTTCTTCTTTCTGAGGTAGGCCTGTATTGCAATATACTTTCCTCTTAGCACCGCCTTTGCTGCATCCCACAGATTTTTGCGGTGTTGAATTATTGTTGTCATTTGCCTCCATATATTGCTTGATCTCTGTTTTTAGTTGGTCATTGATCCATTGGTTATTTAGGAGCATATTGTGAAGCCTCCTTTTGTTTGTGGGATTTTTCATTTTCTTGGCATAATTTATTTCTAATTTCATACCCTTGTGATCTGAGAAGCTGGTTGGTACAATTTCAATATTTTTGAATTTACCGAGGCTCTTTTTCTGGCCTAGTATATGATCTATTCTTGAAAATATTCCATGTGTACTTGAGAAGAAGGTGTATTCTGCTGCTTTTGGGTGTAGAGTTCTGTAGATGTCTCTTAGGTCCATCTGTTCTCAATGAACTCTTTTAATCCTCACAGAAACCATCTGAGGTTGGAATATTACCCTCATTTTACAAGTGAAAAAACTGTGGTCCAAATATTAAGAACTGGCCCAAAGTTAAAGAGCTAAATACTTGAACCTAAGTGACTTGGCTTCAGAGTTTATATTTTTAACCCCTATCCCATCATTGTGGCCACACTGATTTGTTCCAGCATGTGACCCAAGCTGGACCGATCAGAGCCCTCTAGGTAGATTCACTTTTTAGACTAAAGAGCAGGATGAACTGGACCTCCCTCTCTGGGCTCATAAGCCAGCAGGAGGTAAGAATGGGGCTGCCGGTGTCCCTCTTCTCACAATTCCCTGTGAAACAGAAGAAGGAAACCAGCCAGGCAAGCTGATGTGAGACATGGCAGGAAGTGGAGCACCATCTGACAACACATCTTTGGATGCCTGTCCCTCCTGCAAAGCAGTTAGCCATCTGCTCTTCACAGGTGACCTGAAGTTCAAGGGCCAGGGCATGTGCCACCTCCTCCAGGAAGGCTTCCTGAAGAAGCTTTTCCCAAAGCCCCACTGTTAGTGCTTCATCCCTAACACCCAGTCCAGCCATGACATCACAGGGCTGAATTCTACTCTCTTATCTAAACACTCAAGAAGAGGGGTGGGTTTTAGCTTCTTTCCCCTTTACCCACCTCCCCATCAGAGCCCAAATCCTCTTTCCAGTGTCACTGTCACTACTTGCCACCTGCAGTGATGAGCAGCCTACTTCCTGAGGAGACTGAGGTGTGTGAGTTTCATCACCCATTGTGCCAAGCACAGGAGCAGTGTGACTTGGGTCTGTAGTCTCCAGAGTTCTTGGCTCAGTACCTGGTTGATGCTCAGTGATCACTGACTTATTTAAAACAATCTCAGTGACCAGTTATTCATTCTTTTCAGTGGCCAACACTAGCTTGGAGACATCATGAAGGTTTTCCTGTCAACAGTATTGCTTCTGTAACTTTCTGGGACCATTTTCAGCCAATTCCAAGAATGGTCCACACTGGGCTAGTGGAGCAACCCAGAGACAGGGAGGCAAGCTCTCAGGAGATCTTGTCGCCCCCTGGTGGCAGACTAGACAGGTGGAGTGGGCCTTTCTTAGGTCAACTAAGCATTCCTGTCCCTTCTGCTCAGTGCCCCTACCACTTACTGAGTGCCAACTGTATGCTGTATTAGGAGCTTCACCTGCACCATCTCATCCAACCCTTATGACAGCACCCGGAGGCTGGTGCCTCCTGTTTTAGAGATAAGGACACTGAGACTTACACATGTTTTCAGTGCTTGGCCAAGGTCACCCCTATAGGAAGGAGTGTGCAACTATTCCTCTTGTCAGCCCATTTCCTACTCCCCCATTCTTCTGGTAAGAGATGCTGTTTCCTTAGGTACAGGGTAGGCCAGGAATCCAGGCTGGCCCATGGGGACCTTTCTAAGTAGCATAGGTAGAAAGAATGCCTTCCTTTCTGGTGCTTGGGTGCTGAGGATGCAAGCCCAGGCTGCCTGTGGCCAAGGTTCTGGCCTCAAGGGACAGCCAGGTGAGAATGAAGCAGCCCTGAGAAGAACAACAGAGGAAGAGGAGAAATGAGCATTCACATTCCCACTTGTAGGCATCTCCAAGGCAATGGTCTGGCCACGCAAGCCAATACATTCCCTCTTGCTAAGGGTGCTGCAGTTCATGCTGGCTTTCTGTCACTCATAACTTGAAAAACAGAATTCAAACCTGTCTACGTTAAGACCTGTGCTCTAAACAGCTTGCTATTCTGATTCTTATAACAAGCTATGTGGCGTATTAGGAGATCAAGATAAAGAGGGATCGGTGCAGCCCGGAGCAGTATACAAAGCCTGCATGAAGGCAAGGAGCCTGGAAGTAGGGATGGGTGACAACTAGGCAGAAAAGCAGCAGGAGAGCAGGATCTAAGGCCTGGTGACAGAAGTGAGACAGCACTATGTGGAGTTGAGATGCCTGGCTTACTGGTGGAGAGGAAGAGAAGGGAGTGGCTGGCTGGGCTCTCAGACTAGGCAGATATTCAGAAACTGACTGAGATGAATGTGAGATAAGCAACTGGTACAGAGGCCCCACTCTGCCCCTTCCCCTTAGTGCCCACCAAGGTTTAAAATAGCACATGGTGGCCACCTCCAGTCCTGAAGAAATTGGCTGGGGGGAAAGGATAACAGCCTTCAGTGTTTTGTTCTGGAAACCTCCAAAGTGCGCAAAGAGTAGGATGCTTGGTACAGGGAATAAAGGTATTGTGAAAGCCCAGGGAAGGACTCAGGTAGGGAAGTTGTGCATATCCAGCACATAGTAGGGGCTCAGTAAACTCTTTCCCTCCCAACTTCAGGAGGCACCTCAGTCAGTGGGGATCCCTGTCATCAGTCCAGCCTGGCTTAGCAGGGCAGGAAGAAAAGGGCAAGTAGTACAGGGCAGATACCCAGCTTGGGAATTAAGATTGGTTAACATCTGACTGGTTTTCTTCTCTGGGGACTCTGACCACCAGAGGCAGTCCAGGGAGGGGGAAGGCATCCTCTTCCCACAGACTATCTTAGGAATGAAAAACCTCAAACCTGTCCCAAGTTTCTGACTCCACCAACTTTACTCACTGAACCCCCAGACTGTGCCAGCTCTTGGTCTCAGAAACTGCTGCTGAGAACAACAGTGAAAACACAATGGCAGGTCATTTGAAACAAGGATAGCCTTTTCTATCCTCCACAGTTTTACAAGTCTACCATATGGGGAAACTGATACCATGGCAGTTGGGAAGCACATACCATCACGTTGAAATATTCAAAGCAGCCAGCATGAGGACTGCCTGGCAGAAAAGGGATGAGTCTCAGCCACAGAGGAGCCAAGTATGGACCATGAATGGGGACTGTAGAGGGACTGATTGTGGTTTTATATGAAGAGTGATAAATTATCCAACATGATGGAATGTTTGAACCAAAAAATGAGAAAATGAAGGCAAATAGTAAGAGGAACAAAGAAAGGTAATTAGAAACTCCAGGAAAAACAAAAGCAATATAAGAAAGCAAATGTAACTGTTAAACATTTAGGGAACAATATTTACACGGCCTAACTAGTAAAAAACATCATACAGTGATTTTCAAAGTTTAGAATCAATCCACAAATAAAAACACAGAAGACAATTATGATTAAAAAATAGCAGGTAAATACAGTCAACTGTGACAACACAAAAGCAAAACTATAGATGACAGGAGTTGGGGGAAAGGGAAAGAAAAGCTAAAGATTAGGGTAGGGGAGTAATATCCTCCTTTTAAAATGGAATCAAGAGACATTGCCCACAGCTGACCAAAAAAGAAATAATGGTGTATACCTTATTCCCTAAGGCTATAGATGTAACTAAGTTAAAAACTGTGACAAATAGAACCATCTGTGAAGATGGAGAATATAAAGTGAGCCAGATCATAATAGGATGTCATTTGGTAAACACTAGCTTAGAGGTTAAAATTGATAAACCAAGAAATAGCAGTTGAGCATAGCATTTAAGAATGTGGACTTTGGAGACCACTTGGGTTCATATTCCAGCTCTGCCACTAACCAGAACTTAGGCAGGTTACTTAACTCTTGGGCCTCATTATTCCCATCTGTGCAATATAGAGGATAGTAGTAGATTCTACCTCAAGAGTTGTGGTTGAATCAATACCTGCAAAAACTTAGAGTGGAGCCTAGCCCCCCCAGAAAGTGTTATATAGTGTTTGTTATTATTTAGAAATATGAATTTAACTCTGGTAGGAACAGCTAAAAGAAATTAATGCAGTTATCTCTGATGCTAGGAAGAGATGAAACAGAGGATCATTGCTTTTTACCCTAAGGCCTTCTGTGCTATTTTATTTGATGATGGACATGTATTACTTTGATAACAATACAAGAAACTGTCAATAGAGAAGAAGAAAGCTAGCAGGAGTTACCTTAAAAGGTGGTGAGCACCTTATCATTTCATAAGTTAAGCAAAGCATGGATGCAGCAGAGGAAATCCAAGCATCCCAGGAACTGGACAAGATGGTTCTGCCTATTGTCTTGAGCAACAGTGACACTGAGAACAAGAACGTGCCTACAGGTACCCAAAGAGGTGGGGAGAGACACCCTGGAAGAGTGCCAGCTCCTCATGCCATCACAAGGGAGCACCCTTGCTGGTAACTCATGCACGAGTAGCAAGAGCAGAAACCAGAAGTCAGGAGCCTGGGGTTTTGGCCCTGGTTCTTGCCAGCAAATGATGTAACCTCTCTGGGCCTCAGTTTCCACATATACAAAATAGAAAGATACTCACTAAGATGCTGCATATGGAAGCCCCACACGAGATAAAGTGACCATATATGATATTCACAGATTGTCTTAATTGGGCTCCCACAGTTCAAGGCAGTTAAAGACCCCCAACTTGAAAGGGATCCAGAACAGAGGCGTCCCTCGGTAGCACGAGAAAGCGCTACCCTCTGCAAGTGTCTCAGACTTCTCCGCCATTCCAAACCATGCCACTAACTTCTAAACTTAACTCTGAGCAACCAGTGCACAAAACCTTTCCATGGCTCCCTGCTTACGGGACGAATGTTTCAGGTCTGTAAAACGGGATGAAGGCGGAATGGAGAGAAAGACTGAAAGGTGGCTCCGTGCTTCTCCCTTTGTCCTGTCTGGGCTCTAGTACATGCACCGAAAACTTCCTTCCCTCGGAGACACCAGGGAACAGCAACCACACGAAGAAAGCCCTTCCTCACTCCTGGGCAGAGGAGCTTCCACACTTCGCTCTCTCCCCTCTACATTCTCACATTCTTGGGTGCCTCCGGGCAAGGAGTGAGCCTCTAGATTAACACAGATTCCCAAATCCTATTCGTGGTTGGAGGGATCCCGAGAACTTGCAGGTGGCGCCCGTGGCTTACAGGTGTGTAGGGGGCCCGAGGGAGCAGAGATGTCCCCCGGCCCGCCGCCCGCTCTCGAGTTTCTGGGTCCCCCTGGCAGGTCTCCCCGGCCGAGCGAGACCGCGGGGGACGCTGAGCCTCACCCGCCTTCCAGGAAGAAAAGGGAGCGCGGAGGCGGGACTCCGCCGGAGACCGATCGCGAGGCCGCCGCGGGCTCACCCTGGCTCCGCTAGCCCGGCCCCGCCGCCGGCCCCCGTCACGTGGCGGGGCCGCGACTCCGCTCCCCCCGGCCGGCGCGCGCCCACCTGGCCTGCGGGAAGGAGGCGCCCGGCTGCGCGCCCCGGCCGCCCGCCGCTCCCGGGTGCTGCCGCCTCCGCGCCGCTGCCTCCATGGCTGCCCCGCCTGCTGTCGACCCTTCGGCCCTGCTTTCCCGAGTTAAAGACGGGCTCTGCTGGCCGGGCTGCGGCGATCGCGCACCGAGCGCGGGGAGGGAGGCGGGGACCCAGGGGCGGGGCCGGAGGAGGAGGCAGGGACCCGGAGAGGGACCGAGGGCGCCCCCGGGCGGCGGCGAGGAGGCGGTGTCCTCGCGGGCCGTGGGGCGGAGTCCTGCGCGCGCAGCGCGGGTGGCCGTGTCGGCGCTGGTATTTGCAGGGGTCGCGTGCGTGGTGGGGATGGGATGGGGGAAACATCCTCAGTCGTTGCTGTGAGCAACACGGTGCGGGCAGGGCCGGGTAAACTGTGCTCTAGCAGGGGACGCAGTTCAAGGGCACTGGGCAGAGGAGGGCACCATCATACTTGGATTTTAGACGCCTGCCGTGGAGGGGTAGATGAGGAGGCAGGACTGGAGACTTGGAGGTGGAGCACAGGGCATGCAGTTGTTCTAGTGAGAGTCCAGACTGCTAATGGTGACAGTGGGAAGGAGAGAGTTGAAGACGTCGCGTTGTGTGGGAGGAACCGCTGCTGTGACTCAGGTGTCAGGGGGTGAGGAGAGTTCAGGCGGCGGCCAGGCTCTGCGCCGGCTGGTTGGTGGGGGCTCCCCCTGGGAAGGGCGTTGGTGCAGTTTTAGAGTAAATGAGAGTTCATCCTCAGCCACATTAAGCCTGAACCCGAGGTGGGTCAGGAAGGCTGTTGGACCCATGGATCTGAAGCTTAGTAGACATGGTAGCTGGGCAGACAGATTTGGGAGTCACGGGAATACAGATGAGTTTCAGAACCTAAGAGGTTGCCTGGAGCGACAGTGTCCCAGTGAGAAGGGGGAACAAAGCGCAAAGCCCAAGAATGATATGCAAGCAGATAGCCTGGGTTTCAATCCTGGTCTGTTTCCTGTCTCGCCGTGGCACTTGGGTAGATTGCCCAGCCCCTCCCGGCCTCAGCTGCTCCTCTGCTGCACTGAGGCTGTGATGATTAAGTGAAGGAGCGCCCAGGAAGCACTCAGCACGGGGCCTGCAGGGCCGGGTTTGTATTTCCCAGAGCCTGTCCCCCGACCGGATGTTTCCTTCCATGATGTGAGGTGTTTGGCTATGCCTATTTCCATTCTGTTTTTTTCCCTGTCCTCTTTCTTGGGAGACTTTTATTGAGTTTATTTCTTCTTCTCATCAGAACCCACATGTCCTGTCTTGGCTGTGGCTGGTGCCTGCACCGGGGTCAGTTTTCATCAGCTCCATCCTGGGCTCCAGCAGGCCACACCCCAGCCCCACTAAAGGCCGCGTCTGTGTTATAGCTTTCTTTCCTGCTCACCACGTTATTAGCAGATAGGATGATGTCCGTGTTTTGCAGGAGATGAACATTTATATACAAATCTGATTGGAGACTGATAAGGAGACATCTTGCCTAGAGGAGGCCCCTCCAGAAGGGGTGGATATACCTGGAAATTACATTAGTGATCCTGGGAATGATGGTAGACGGCCCTGCGCCGTGGCTGACTAGGGCAGATGGACGTGCCCTCCTTCAGAAAGTATGTGTTAGGGAGGAAGGAAGGCTCAGGAATGGAGGAGTCAGGGGGAACTTCATGGAATAAGCAGGATTTTTAAGAATGGGGAGATGCTGATTGGAAGGAGCATCTTTTTAGGGAACAAAGCACAATAGGAGTCAAGGCACCAAATGGAAATAAGCGTATAATCCTGTCCTGCGCAAGGAGTCAGCAGGTCTACATTGGGCTAACAGGGTTTGTGTGAGGAAGCAGAAGATAAAGTTGGGAAGAAGGTTGCACTTGGATTTGAAGGCCTTGGAATGAGGGTTTTTTTCCCATTTGGCAGTGAAGAACCTGTGAGAAGTTTGAGAAGTGATGAAAGCAGTGTAGGGTGGCCAGGGAAGGGACATCGATGAGGAGGCACTGCCGTTCTCTGAGGGCTGATGGGGGTCAGCTCTCACCCAGACGCCGATGTGCACAGGTGCCGAGAGACAACACTCAGTAGGGGAGGATGGGCCAGACGCCTTTCAGGGACACCGGCCTGCATTTAGAAGGAATTCTTTGGGTATGTTGCTTGGTGTGAAAGAGTGAGACCCTTAAACACTTGAGTTTTTAAGAAACCATTTATGGAATAAATTTTTTAAAAAGTAAGTCAGGAGTGGGAGGTCGCTTTGGGGAAGGGGTCTCATTTGGCCTTAGATTTGTCGAGGTAACAGAGACATCCACCAGGAAAGACACACCCACTTGGAAATAAGCCAGCGACATCTGAAGGGAGAGGACAGACTCGGGAGCCTTCTACTTAGAGGTGCGGGTTGCAGCATGTTGCTGTTTATAAGACAAGAGAAAACAGGCTTCAAAGCAAGAACTAAAGCTCAGA